TGGAAGTAATGACAGATTTTTATTTTCCTGGGCTCCAAAATCACTGCAGGCTGTGACTACAGCCATGAAATTAAAAGACACTTGGAAGGAAAGCTATGACAAACCTAGACAGCATATTAAAAAGCAAAGACATCACTTTGTTGACAAAGGTTCAAATAGTCAAAGCTATGGTTTTTCCAATAGTCATATACCTATGTGAGAGTTGGTCCGTAAAGAAGGCTAAACACTGAAGAATTGATGCTTTCAAATTGTGGTGCTGGAGAAGACTCTTGAGAATCCCTTGGACTGCAAGGAGATCAAAACAGTCAATCCTAATGAAATCAGTCCTGAATATTCATTGAAAGGACTGATGCTGAAGCTGAAGCTCCAATACTTTGGCCACCTGATGTGAAGAGCCAACTCATTAGGAAAGACCCTGATGCTGGGAAAGATTGAAGGCAGGAGAAGAAAGGGGTGACAGATGACAAGGTGGTTGGGTGGCATTACTGACTCAACGGACATGAGTTTGAGCAAGCTCCAGGTGATGGTGAAGGACAGGGAAGCCTGGTGTGCTGCAGTCCATGGGGTTGCAAAGTCAGACACGACTGAGTGGTTGAACAACAATGTATAATACATAAGGATAAATATATCTTACATTATATTTTGTTAAAATGTGTTTATTATAATGCACTTGGTGTGATATGTTACCTTCTAATCTACTGTATGGTGCTTCCTTGATGACTCAGTGGTAAAGAATTCACCTGACAATGCAAGAGAGGCATGTTCAATCTCTGGGTCAGGAAAATCCCCTGGAGAAAGAAATTGCAACCTACTCCTGTATTCTTGCCTGGGAAATCCCGTGGACAGAGGAGTCTGGCAGACTACCGTCCATGGGGGTCGCAAAGAGTCAGACATGACTTAGCAACTAAAGAACAGTAACAATCTACTGTATATTATTGATCAACTATTGTAAATCACAGAATTTCTACCATGGGGTTGGGGAAAAACAGACTTGTGACAGACAGTGAGTATTCCCAGGAGTCAACACAGCAGAAAAGGACACAGAGGCTCTGCACCAGTTCTTAGAAGCTAAGCCCTGGAACTGGCTAGTGTAACCTGGGAGGAATAATGGGATCATGCTGACTAAACATTAACTCAAAACTTGAAGCAAAAAAAGAACTTGCTGGTCAAACACAGAAGCCGAGAGTATAAAGGTAGTCTCCAGGGTCTGAGGGGAGGAGGCAATGAGAGATGTTGACCGAAGGGTACCAGTTTCAGTTGTCCCGGATGAACGAGTTCTGGAAATCTGCTGTATGGCACGAGGCCTGTGACCAACAACTCTATAATGTACACTGAAAAATTTGCTGAAGGGATAAATCTCATGTTACTACAAAAGGAAAACAACAAAAGTCATGCAAGAATGACAACAACAAATAGATGAGAGGAAACTACAGGAGGTGACACAAATTTATGGTCTAGATCATGATGATGGTTTCACAGGAGTGTGGTGGTGGTGGTTTACTTCCTAAGTCATGTCTGACTCTTGAGACCCCATATGGACTCTAGCCAGTCAGGCTCCTCTGTCCAAGGGATTCTCCAGGCAAGGATACTGGAGTGGGCTGCCATTTCCTTCACCAGGGGATCTTCCCCATCCAGGGATCAAACCCTGGTCTCCTGTGCCACAGGAGGATTCTTTACCATCTGAAGTACCAGGGAAGCCTCACAGGTGTATACCTCCCCTCAAAGACATGAAGTTGTACACATTACACATGTACAGCTTTTATATGTCAATCATTCCCCAAAACAGGGCTGTGACTGTCCTGGCGAGAAGCTGCTATGGAGCACAGGGAGCCCAGCCTGGTGCTCTCTGAGGACCTGCAGGGATGGGGCGGGGAAGGGAAGGCGGGCTACGGAAGGAGGGGATGCACGCACAGTTACAGCTGATGTGCGTCACTGTATGGCAGAAACCAACACAACGCTGTAAACATTTTTTAAATATATTCAAATTAAAAAATAGGAGAAAAGAAGTAATAGTAGGTGAGGAGAACTGAAAGAATAAGCAAATGAATGAATGAATAAAAAACGATGTGCACATATACACCATGGAATATTACTCAGCCATTAAAAAGAATACATTTGAATCAGTTCTAATGAGATGGATGAAACTGGAGCCCATTATACAGAGTGAAGTAAGCCAGAAGGATAAACACCAATACAGTATACTAATGCATATATATGGAATTTAGAAAGATGGTAACGATAACCCTATATGCAAGGCAGAAAAAGAGACACAGATGTATAGAACAGACTTTTGGACTCTATAGGAGAAGGTGAGGGTGGGATGATCTGAGAGAATAGCATTGAAACATGTATATTATCAAGTGTGAAAGAGATCACGAATCCAGGTTGGATGCATGAGACAAGTGCTCAGGGCTAGTGCACTGGGAAGACCCAGAGGGATGGGATGGGGAGGGAGGTGGGAGGGGGGATCGGGATGGGGAACACATGTAAATCCATGGCTGATTCATGTCAATGTATGGCAAAAACCACTACAATATTGTAAAGTAACTAGCCTCCAACTAATAAAAATAAAGGAAAATAAAATAAAATCTCAAAAAATAAAATAAAAAACGATGTGCAATGGCCAGTACCCATCAATCAAGTGTATCCCCTTTGTCTGCCTGCTTCCTTCCCCCCATCAACTTCACCAGTCTTCCCACACCCTTCTTCACTCTGTTCTCCACTTACTCACCAGTCTCTTTCTTGTCTGTTTCATGGTTTCCCCAGATCTCTGCTCTGAGCTCTCTATAAACCTTAACTCCATCCTCCTCTGGGGCCAGCCATTATTTCTTAGAGCCTTTCAGACCCAAGTTCATAATGTGACCCCTTCCCGAGAGACCATCCCATTCCACAAATATAAATCTGCCACCATGAAAGAAAGATTTAGGTTTTAATCCTTCCCTTTCACTCTCTGCTCCTGACGACTTTGTAATTGGAGGCTGGCGAATTCTCTTAACAGTCTATCTGTGCCTCGATGTGTCTATTGTTTTGATGGCAGAGAGAACTCCAAACATTTTATGAATAGCCCACTTCGTTTGGCCAGCTCTGAACTCCCCAGATGTCAGGAAGCCAGTTAAAATAAGTTCTGATGGCCTGAGCCTGTTATCACTCCAGGCCTTGAGCCCAGACCTTTGCAAATCAGTCAGCAGAGCAGGCAGCTTACAGTTCTCACTTTCTAAGTTTCCTTCAGCTGATACCGTCTGACCGAATTTTCTTTTGCTGGAGAAGCGTGAGATCAGTGTTGAGACATCTGACAATGGCTTTTCTTCACCGTCCCCAGGTGTCTGGGGAATTGATGGGTGCACTCCGCCTGCACGTGCTTCCAGGCTTTCTCTTGCTGCCTCTGCCTGCTGTCATTTCCAGGGCCAGGAAAGGGAGGGATGGGGAGGAGGGCGGGCATCATGTCCTTTCTGTGTCTATTTCTCTCCCGTGAAGTGTAGGTCCACCCACTTCTAACTCATTTTTAGCTTTTGGTCAATAATTTCCTCAAATATTTACGAAGCATCTTCCAGGCATTGGGCAGCAGCAAATCAGAGCGTGCATCACACGGGGAGGAAGGGCGTTAAACAACCATTAACAACGTTGATTGTTGTGAGTGAGAAGGGGTGAGAAGGGGTCAGATGGGAAAGATGCGATGAGTTCAGGTGAGCCCTGTCGGGAAATGTCAGGGAGGGCTGCCATGAGGAAGTCACTTTGAGTAGAAATTAAGAAGCAGAGATGCTACCAGAGGAGACAGAGGGAATCAGAGGGGTAGGGCAAGAGGTGGGAAGGAATGTGGCACTCGGAGGCCCTGGAACAAGGCTCCAAGCTGGCCAGGGTGCAGAGAACAAGGGGAGACCCACAGGACAATGGGGTGAAGCATGCAGGGGGCAGGTTCTGCAGCATCCAGCCAGCTAGTCTAAATATCTGGGGATTTCTCTGGAGTAATGAAATTTGAAAGATTCCCAGTCATCCGTGTCATCAATTTCAAAGTCAGCTCTGTAACCAAAGAAAACAAACCCACGGGTGCTGAGACATTGCCCAGTTCCTAATGCCATTGACAGTTTGTAGGGAACTCTAAATTCTGAAGTGGCTGCAGCTCTGAGACTCTGCTGCCCTGCTCAGAATGCTCGAGGTGATCTCGTGCTAACTGGAACAGTGCAGTGGACTGCAGCCTGGCTGAAGAGGCTGAGTCTGGTCCCACCATAGCTGGGAACAAGATCTGCCATCAAGCCAGCGTCACCTCTCAGTAAGCCTCGCTCTCTAGTGCACCGCTGGACAAGTATAGTTAATGACATGCTGTTTAATACTGCAAATTTGCCAAGAGAGGAATTTACTATTTCCCATCTATTTGCCACGAAGTGATTGGACCGGATGCCATGATCTTCGCTTTTTTGAATGTTGAGCTTTAACCCAAGTTTTTCACTCTCCTCTTTCACTTTCATCAAGAGGCCCTTTAGTTCTTCTTCACTTTCTGCCATATGGATGGTGTCATCTGCATATCTGAGGTTATTGATGTTTCTCCCGGCAATCTTGATTCCAGCTTGTGCTTCATCCAGCCCAGCGTTTCTCATGATGTACTCTGCATAAAAGCTCAATAAGCAGGGTGACAATATACAGGCTCGATGTTCTCCTTCCCCTATTTTGAACCAGTCGGTTGTTCCATGTCCAGTTCTAATTGTTGCTTTCTTGTCCTGTGTACGGGCTTCTCAGGAGACACCTTGCTGCTGCTGCTGCTGCTGCTAAGTCGCTTCTGTCGTGTCCAACTCTGTGCGACCCCATAGACAGCAGCCCACCAGGCTCCGCCGTCCCTGGGATTCTCCAGGCAAGAACACTGGAGTGGGTTGCCATTTCCTTCTCCATAGATGTATGCAATCTGTACACCTTGGACATACACAATTGTTTTAAGTTACTTAAATTTTGGAAGGCGGTGTCCTCACCCACCTCCCACTGTGGGCACAAACATCTGCTCTGGTTGTCGTTTATGACCTGGACGCTGGACAGCCCGCTGCACAGCCGAGCATCACTCCATCACAAGGGAGCTGACCGCTGGCCGCGGGCGGTCCTCCCAGGGCAGCAGCGGGAGCACCCCGGCAGCCCGGCTTCTGACCAGGCCACCTTGCTTCAGCTAAGAGCCCGTGGGCTCTCCGGCTTCTTTCCACACTGGCCGACGCCCCCGTGCCCTCCAGCCCTCCGTGTCTGTATTGGACGTCTTCCGCTCGCTCCTCCGGATCCACTGTGCCCTCCTCAGCCGTCTCTGCCATGGAGAGCCCTTTCCCATGGAGACGACACCGGCGAGACCCCTTGCCCTCCGGACTCCAGCTGGAGTCAGTCCTCGGGAAGCCGCAGCAGGAAAGAAGAGAATGAGGGTGGGCACGCATCGCTTCCACCCTCCGGTGTCTGTCCCCCGGACTGACCACACCCTCGGTCGAAGGGGACTCTGCATACAGCTCCCGCTGTCGCTGGGAACGGCTCCCTCCGCTGCTCCGCGGGGACTGAGGACGATGATGTTTCTGATGCTGCTGACCCCTTGAACACTGCACTGCCCTTTCTTGCTCTCCCGACACTCTGCCCTCCTCATTTTTTAAATGCGATTTTATTTCTTTACTTATTTGGGCCTTGTTGGCCTTTGTTGCTGCGTGGGCTTTCCTCTAGATGCGGCGAGCGGCAGCTCCTCTCTGGTCGCGGTGCGCACGCTGCTCATTGCCGGGGCTTCCGTCTCCCAGGGCACACGGGCTCAGGAGTTGCGGCTCCCGGCTCTCGAGCACCAGCTCCGGGGTTGTGGCGCCGGACTTTTCACTGCTTCCCGTTGTGTGGGATTTTCCTGGACCAGGGATAGAATCCGCACCTCCTGAACTGGCAGGCGGATTCCCCACCCCCTTCCCCATCAGGGAAGCTCTACGGTGCTTCTGTGCTAAGTCGCTCCAGTCGTGTCCAACTCTTTGCTGCTCTATGGACTGCAGCCCATAGGCTCCTCTGCCCAAGGGATTCTCCAGGCAAGAACACTGGAGACGGTTGCCATGCCCTCCTCCAGGGGATCTTCCTGATCCAGGGATCCAACCCACGTCTCTTATGTCCCCTCATTGGCAGATGGGTTTTTTAAGACTAGTGCCACCTGGGAAGCCCCTTTTGTAAATGGTACCTTTATGGAACTCCCCAGGCACCTAAGAGAAGGTGCCCCGCTTCCTTCTCATATCCTGACCCATTCAGCAACAGACTCAGAGCACAGACGTCTCAGAATTCCATCCCCATCTTCTGCCAGTGACTGCCTTTCTTTTCTTTTTGGGCAGAGTTTGATTCAGATTCCCTGGTGACTGACCTGCACAGACCCTCAAGCGAGCTGAAGGGACTTGGCGAGTGTGGAATAGACAAAGATGCATGGATGACGCTCTGCCTGCTCCTTCCTTGAGAGACCCCACTAAATCTCTGCGTCACCCTGCCCCCGTGGCCACACCGGTCCGATCAGCAGGCACAACCCACGTTAGGCTTCACCACTCTTGCTCTCTCTGTCTGGAATATTCTTTCTCCAGAAATCCTTGTACCTAACTCCCTTGTCAGCTTCTGATCTTTTCCTCAAATGTGACATTTCCATTAGACTTCCCCACCATCCCTCTTGAAAGGAGTCCCCACCCCAGCCTCTTCATCTGCTTCCCTCTTTTATGCATTCCATTTGTCACTTTCTAATATAGTCTTTCAGTGTTTATTTTATTACCGCATGTATATACCCTCAAACAAACCCCCTAAGAAATGCTCCATGAAGGCACAAATTTTTGTCTGCTTTTGCACAATTATATCCCCAATTACCAGAACATAATCTCCTATGCTATTTTTTGAACAAGTAAGATCCTGTTTCCAGAGGGAGATATAGATTCCAGAGGGAGATAGAGGGTAGAAGGGATTCCATCCCAGTGACCACTTTTTTCTCCAAACTTCTGATCAGTCTCCACGGGAAGCCACTCCCTGCCAACTGCCATCTGCAATTGAGTCCACGCCTCACCTACAACTTTCCCTAGAACAGAGAATGAGAGCTGTGCTGAGTGGCATGTCCGGTCACATCCAGTTTGGCTGCATCCACGGGGAGCTGATGACTCGCTCTTTCCCGTCTCCATTTCAGAAGCAGACGATCTGCCGGAACAATAAAGCCTCTCTTCATCGGGACTATGACCCCACTGACACTGGCGTGAAATATACACTTTGAGCAGATAGAGCCTTTCACACTCTAGTCATTTTGAAAGCTCCTGCTACATTCACAGCTTTGTGCCTGAAACTGAGGAAGAAAATACGGTCCTTTCCCTCTGGGGACTCTGACATACCACGCCAGACTTCTATGAGGTGAAAACATCAAAGCCTTTCTCTTCTCTATTTCAGAATCCACACACTCAGCTTAGCCACCAACAGGTGACGCAACATCACTAAACGCACGGAGAAATGTTCCATACCCAGAAGAGCCAAGCCTTGACCCTGACTCTCCAGGCTCTGAGAAATCAGAGATGAGGGCCATTCCAACATCAGAGACCTAGGGAGAGAAAATCTGAGGTCGAGTGAGTTATCACCACATTCTGGGATGTGCAAAGACCACAAATTCTTAGAGTTAGAACCAAAATCATTCCTTGTCCTGAAAGGGCAAAGTCACCGTGAAAGAAGTATTTGTCAAGTGAGTGAATGAATGAATAAATGAATGAATGAGAAAAAATAAAAGTTAAAGTTAGTGGCAGGGAAAAGTCTCTGGTGAATCCAATAGTTTGTACGTTATCCACCCTTTCTAAACTCTAACATCTGGGGTTGCCCATGTGACCAATGAAACTGGTGGACTGAAAGTCTGAGCCAAAGATGGCTTCAATATTAGGAGAATAAGCTCAATGGTAAAGATGAGCAACAGAGAACAAATCAGTGAATTTAGTTCAGGATTAGTGTTTGGCCCCTCAGGTGTCAGCTGAACATTGATTATTCATTAGATAATGCAATTGCTCTCAATAAAAGGCACAGCAGGAACGCTGGATGGCTTTCAATATCCTCGTTGGGCTATTTGGACCCTTTGGGCATGTGCGCTCTGTGAGAAACTAAATGTAATTTCTCAGGAAGTTTGCCCAGGCACAGCTTTTTAGCATAGCTATCGAATTGGCCCAAATACATCATTCTTTTTGCATGCTTTCCATTAAATTTCAGTAACTGTCTCCAAGAAGTTAGATTCCAAAAACCAGAGTCAAGGATGCAGACTCCACAGTGGTCAGGGAGTGAGAGGTGGGTCACCAGGAGTCCTTGTGCGGTGAATTCATTCTCCAAATGCTGGGCCCAGACCCCCCGGAAGCCTGGGCCACACTTCATAACCTGCACAAGCCTCTTCTCAACTGTTGCCTGACTTGTCTCTGCTGTTTAGATGGGTCGATGAATACTCTTAGTCCTCTGCATCTCAAAGTAGCACCAGGAGGACTTCCCTGGTGGTCAGTGGATAGGCATCCACCCCCTGGTGCAGGGGACACAAGTTCAATCCCCAGTCCGGGCAGATTCCACATACCGCAAAGCAACTAAGAGAGTGTGCCAGAACTACTGAGCCTGCGCTCTAGGGCCCAAGAGCCACGACTCTGGAATCCAAGCGCCACAACTACTGAAGCCCTCAAGCCCTAGAGCCTGCAAGCTGCAGCTGCTAGGGCCAGGTGCTGCAGCTTCTGAAGCCTATGCACCTAGAGCCCATGCTCTGCAACAAGAGAAGCCACCGCAATAAGAAGTCCATGCCCCGCAACTAGAGAGCAGCCCCCAGCTGCCGCAACTAGAGAAAGCTTTCACGCAGCAACAAAGACCCAGCCAACCAAAAAAAAATTTTTTTTTTTAAGTAGCACCAAGAGGATTTCCCCAAGGGTCCAGTGATTAAGACTCCATGCTTCCACTTCAAGGGGCACAAGTTCAATCCCTAGTCAGGGAACTAAGGTACCAGCAGGGCCAAAAAAAACCCCAAAAAAACAGTAGCACTAGGAACCTGGTTATAAAGCAACTTATATGGAAATGATCATTTCATGCGCAAAGCAGATGTGTGTGCTTCTGCCCTGCCTTAGGCATATGCAAAACTTACAGAGTATCAACACTGCAAAGCCACTCTTTTAAAACACAGTACCTGCTCTAATTCTGTACAAATGTCCGAAATGATGGTTGGCACAGTCCTCCTGTAATTGATTCCAGAAAGCTCCTATCAACTCCTTTGCAGATGCTTTCAGTCCTGAGTATTTCCAGAAAGAACGGGACTTTTCTTTGAACAGCCTGCCAGCTGGTCTGAGCAGAGCAGGTGCAGATTTTTAAATGCCATATGTACTCGAGTACGCTCCCAGCTTCCCCGCCTCCCCTGCCACAATTTTCAGAAGGGAGTTGTTTGGATTGTTTTATATTTTCTTCTACACCAGTTTCCCCAAGACCGCTCCGGTCAAAAGCAAGTTACAAAAACAATGAAAAGTGTTAATGTTTTTAGTGATTTGAATGTCAAAGTGGATTTTCACCATTTTCTGCCTGAACTGCTGTCTGTGTTTGGGGATCTGTCTAAGCCATGAAGACTTGCCAAGGCTGTTTTGGTGAAGGTAAGAGGAAAGGTAATGTCTATTTCGTGGACAAGTAGGCTAAGAGGCTTCCCCGATGAATCAGCGGTAAAAAATCTGCCTGCAGTGCAGGAGATGCACGAGACTTGGTTCAGTCCCTGAATCAGGAAGATTCCCCTGGAGGAGGAAATGGCAACCCACTCCAGTATTCTTGCCTGGAAAATCCCATAGACAGAGGAGCCTGGCAGGCTACAGTCCATGGGGTCACCAAGAGTCGGACACAGCTGAGCGACTGAACACACACAGTAGGCTGAGAATGACCTTGTGTGTAACTTTCTGTGTCCTCCATTCTTCTTGGAATAACTGAGGCAGGGAGCTGGGTGGAAAATGGCTTTGTGGTCTTGGCATCATCGCCTCCTACCAGCACATGAGATTTTTCCACTTTGTGCAGGAATGAAAATAAAATAGCGAGGTCCCAGCTATCTCTGATACAAGTCTAGAATAGCAACTAGAGGGATAAACAGCTCCAACGACTTGCGCTTTGCTCTTTCAGGTAGAATCCTATTACATTTAAAAGTATCCTTTGAAATTCTGATTAGTTGGAAGCCTTTGAAAGTAGACACTTATGCAGCAGCTGAGCTAAAGCAGAGTTCTTTTGCCATCTGACAGCTCCCCAACCTTTTGACCCTATACTCTCTGGAAGCTTCTGGTCAGCCTCCCGTCTCCAGGACCAGGCATCACTGAGGTCCAAGCCCCTTCTCCTGATGGACATATGACCCTGAGGGCAAAGGGCAGAACTAGTCATGTTAGGAAAATCATCATACAAATAGATCTGAGAGAACAGATAGTCCCAATCTAAACACAACCAGAGGGACCTTCACTTATTCATTCATCCTACAAATGTTTATTGAGCATCTACTACTCACCAGGTACCCTAAGGATATGATGTTGAGGAAAAGAGATATGGCCCCTGCCCTCTAGAAACTCACAGTCTGGCGGGGGAGACAGGCACTAATCGGGGGATCCCATAAACCATGAATAACAGCTGCTGAGGCTAGAGTGACTAAGCGGGGTCCACAGGGTCCTGAAGGAAATCAGTCCTGAATGTTCACTGGAAGGACTGATGCTGA